ACAATTTTTATCTTGAAGTTATCGCAAAAATCATGATTTTTCCAATAAATCAAAGATTTTTGTATTGATTAGATTGCTATCTAATGTTAATTGTATGTCAGTCGATAAAGTTTATACCATTGTGATAAATTTGGCTCGACTACATTACTTTCGATGGCGCATATACTATCGTCGACATCGTCGATAAAACGAGCACTGAAATCAATATATGATTTTAAAATTTAAAATCTATCGTAAATTTTCTCTACGTTGCATGAGACTAGTTGATCAAAATTTTTAAAATACACTTATATACTTACACACATTTGTGAGTAAATATAGAAAGTACGACATCTGTAAGGTCAAACAAAAGTTAATTTCATATTATTTCATTATAATCTTTATACACAATTTGGCAAGTGCTAAGGCCGGGAAGAGTATAAAGGCAAAATACATGACGCCAGCCAGGTAGCTTGGATCCATGAACAGAGTTGGTGCGTTTGATCTTGATATACCCTTTTCGTTACATTCTTTTAGTCAATTACGCTTCCAAAAAAAGCGAGTTGTGATATTTCTGTAAAAAGGTACTTCTTGTATACTGAAATCACGTATACAGATGTTTTAAGTAAATAATCTTACAGTAAGAACCATTCAAGTTCCAGGATTGTTTTAATTGCTTATCATTAAGTCATATTTATTATTACTATTTCTTCAAATAATTTTGCTATTATTATCTTTTCTCTTTTTTTTATTTTAATTGAAAGGATAGTGGATCTTGTTGTTTTCCCTGTGTAGGGTAAGGTTGTCCATTTAGCGCGCGGGAGGAACACTAGCTCTCATGTCACAGGTTACTCTACTTTGAGAGTCGGGGATCTCATCTTGTATTCCAATAACCTTACTTTATATTTATGTTGTAAGCCAAATATTTTTTGAAAAGAAATATTATTATTATTATTATTATTATCCTTGTACTCGACTGATGGTCGGATATTTGGAACCAGGTACGGGCCTAAGCCAAGTATTCTAGTTCAGTTGTGGTATTGTGAGGGGATGTGAGTGAGTGGTGATTTTTGTTATTATTATTATTATTATTGCTTCAGTCGAGGGCAGAGGCAACTCGAGGAGCTACCGTAACAATTGAGTGCCCCTTGAAATAATGAAATCCCATATAAACGTACTTCTGTTTTACTTTATTCAGACTAAACTCAGTGATGCTAAAGTGTAAATAAATAAATAAATTTAAAAAATTATAGTTCGTTTTCAAATTTATAGTCATGGGAAAACTCGGTATAATTTATTTACCTGTACTTTGTTTCTTTATTTTTATTTGACTTTCATTTGTATGGAATTAGAATACTCCTAAATTGTTAAGCATTAATAATTGTTAAAACTATTGTCGATTAAGAAAGGTCACAATTATAGTTACGTTATAGATTATTCATATACTTTAACCGCCAGTTGACCAAAATCTTTAAGCATTGATTAAAATAGTAGGTATTCGTAGCGAGTGATTGATTGAACATAATTAAGCATTTATTTTGTCCGCAACTTCGTCTACGTCCTGCAGGAACTTGGGTAAAAGCTAGCCTCTGTTAATCAGTGATAATGTAGGTTTCTATTAATAAAATAATTTTTAAAATTGGTTCATTATTCAACAAACAAACTAACAAATAAAGCTTGCCTCTTTTTTATATTCATCGTGATCAGCCAAAATTAACCCATTACTGGGTACATGCCTCTTCATTAATGCACCAACTTTTACGGTCCGCGTCCAGCACGATCACGCAAATCTGACGATATCGTCAGACCATCAGGCCGGTGGTTTGCCCGCTGGCCTTAATAATCCTCTTGGCCACCATTATGTGACTGCTTTGGTCCCTCGTCCGTCTTCTCATCTAGCCAAATGTCCCGCCCAATTCTATCTACCTCGTGATGCAATCACCTACATCATCGACCTTCGTTTTTCGTCGAATTCCGACGTTTAGTACCCGATCCACGAGAGAAATGCTATATGGAGCGCTCTATGCCAGCATAGAGCGCTCCATCGCTCTTTGTGCCACCTAAATTTTGTGCATATTTTGCTTAGTGAGCGCCCAGAACCCCTGCATCAGGTGAGGATCGGCAAGACACATTGGTTATTGACCTTGGACTTACGCCACTGTGGAAATTATGACTTCAAGACGTCCTCTAGCTTACCAAAAGCAACCTACCCCAAACCCATACGCCTTTCGAGCTCATTAACCTGAGTCTCTTGGTCAAAATATAAATGTGTCCAAAATATATACATAAAATCGCTGATAACCTGTACGGTGTCATTACCGACAATAATATGTTTGACTTATCTGAGCTAATAATGTAATCAATTTCATTTTTCGTGCCATTCACAGCAGCAGAGATACTAGTTACGTTTGGACTGCTGAGAAAAGCCTGCTGTGGATCAAAAGCAGACATCGCCATAAGCTACATCATCGTAGCCATTGTGGTAGAGCAGGTGGCAGTTTGACCCGGGCGGCATCGTGATGAATGTGCACCGACCCCACGGCGCCGACTCAAGCAGCGGGAGGTAAACCCGGAGGGGTTTTACTGGGCGTAGGCCCTCCAGTCTGGAGGGAGACTTCCCACATAACCGCTGAGTCTCCCTGGGCTCTGGGGTATCTATAAAGATTTCCCTCCCGAAAAAGAGTTGGCTATTTGACAATCGCGTTAGAACTTCCCCTTACCTCCTAATTTCAGACAATCCTATTACATAGGGCGCGTTATAAGTTTCCGGAACTGGCCACTTACATAAACAATATTTAAGTAAATACAACATTTGAAAATGGAACTCTTTGGCTGTAGAATACAGTTTGTTTCATCTGACCGTCACTTGTTTTTACATTGTGGCGTCATTTTAGGAATTGGTTATCTACATCACCATGATTTTAACTCGTGAAAATTTTCGTATTATTATTTTCTACGACTTTAAGTGTAATTAAACAGCTCAGCGGAGCTTTGCTCGGCTTCAAACTGCTTTTGGCGATAAAGCACCATGCAAGACGACTATTTATAGCTGATTTGCAGAATTCAAACGCGGTCTTGTAAATCTCAGTGACGAATTTCGAGATGGTCGCCCGTCCACTGCTACGAACAACAAAAACATCGTTGCTGTGCGTGCGCCTTACGATCAAAACAGACAGGCATGTGACATATCATGAGATTCGGGTATCTTTAGGCATAGGCATGAGTCAAATACAATCAATACTACACAAACAATTGGGTGTGAAAAAGCTGTGCTCTCGGTGGATCCCACACAATTTGACTGAGGCTCAAAAAACGGGTCGCGTCACTTGGTGTAATGCCATGCTTATCAGATTCAACGAAGGGGCGTCAAATTTTGTGTGGGACATAGTAACAGGTGATGAAACATGGGTTTATAGTTACGATCCCAAAACAAAGCAGCAATCGAGCGTAAGGGTCTTTTCGAGAACGGAGAATATTTTGAGAAACAATAAATTCATTACTGACCATTTACAGTATTTTTTTATTCATTCTGGAAACTTATAGTGCGCCCCACGTACGTCCCTAGTGATATATTATATATTGGACTTCCTCCAATAAATTCACAAGTCGCTCGTCAGAGCTGAGTGTCCACATATTATACGTAGCCAGGGTCAATATTTGGCAGCCGGATCTCTGCCGGAGATTCTTTGCCTTACATTTTAATTTGTTTGTGGTGAGAGTGCCGACCGAACATCTTACGGCCTTCATGAAGGAAGAGTTTTGCCGAAGGGTGTCATATATCGGCGACTTCGCGGCCGGTTACCTGATACCAGATTGCGCCACACGTCGCCGACAAGTGCAATACGTGTAGATTAGTTGTTTAGTTTATTTTATTATCATATTATATTGTATGTATGTAAGTCCTTAAGGTATATATTATACGGATCATGTGGCCTGAAATAATAGTCTAAAAAAAGTAAAATAAATAAATTTGCACTCTCTATCCCACATCATCTATCTATCATCTCTTTTGATGGATGTAAGTATTTTTCTCTCAAGGGAAAGTTAAGGGGTAGTCGAGTTTTTAGTATTTATGGATTTCTTAACTAGAACTTAATGTGAAGGTTAGTAATTTTTCTGTACGGGATTTTTTACGTGAAGCATTTGTCCTGAAGCGACTGCTAACTCCGTAAATAGTTGAAATATGAAAAATGTGATTATTTCAATGGATAGATTTTAAAAAAATCATCATGTATTTCCTTTCGTAGCTGTCATTTTCGTCCAATTAAAAAAAGTCGTAACAGTTTAATGACAAAAAAGACTTTAAAATGATTAGTTATTAATTTACTGCCTCCGTGGCTGAACGGTTACCATGCCACTGCCACGCAGAGATCCCAGACTCGTTTCCCGGGCCGGGAGAAATATTTGTATGGCCTACATTTACTTCTCTCGTGAGTTTGGGTGTAATTTGTGGTTGTCTACGTGTGTGTCCATAGCACCCGCGACACGGGGTTTCACTATTGCGGGGCTAAGTTGAGTGTGTGCGTTATTATTATTATTATTTTATCATAACAGCGCTTTAGGATATTAGTAAATTCGTCTTTTCTTTTTGGGGAGACGAATATTATTTTTGATGTGTCCTCTCCACACCAAGAAACAGACTTATATTTTAACATGTATACGAGTATGTGTCTATTTACTTTACATGAAAATGAAATTATATTAAAATTATAAAGTATCTGCAACTAATTTCTTTTCAATTCGTATCAAGACTGTCTTACAAAATCCATCAATATTAGCAAAAGATTTTTTGAGCACGTTTGTAAAATACATTGCTTAAAATCTTTAGACAGTTTATGACTATTGCTTAATTTAGAGCAACACTTATGATACTAAGTAACTGTATGTTGTATGTAAGTTTCAACATTGCAAATTGCCCTTGTAATCAACCATTATCAACATGATACCTATAAGCTGCCTCACAGTCATATCTTTTTACCAAGAACTAATAAAGAAATACACGCAGTATATTAGGTACTTACCAAATTATTACCAACTCCATTTTCAGTCACTGACGAATCTTCGTTCTGAACGTCGTGGTTGGCAAACATCTTACGGTGGACTTTCTTAAACTCGTCCATGAGGGCGTCGTGCTGTTTCTTCTTCTCATCTACTGGCTTTGGCACACTTGGTTTCTTCACTTGATTCACGTTATTACCCTCGGGATTCGAATTTTTCTTATTCTGTTGACAATACGTAATTAAATTTTTATTTGTATAAATTTCTTGACACGGTTGGTTTTTATCGAGCAAAATTTGATTTAATTGTGTAGAAATTACAATCAAACTTACCAATTTACGTCTCTGTATCTCTTCAGCAATGGCACTTGATAATGTATTTGAGCTAGATATACTTGAGGTGTCGGGACTGGAGTCTTTTTTGGCAGGCGATGGGAAGTTGCAATGAGCTTTCGCACACGTCGTGCTACTTGTATGGTGTACTTCTACTACTATAGACTTCTTATCATTTACTCTATTCATCTGTTTACCTGAAAACGTTTTTCTAGGAGACTGATTATCGTAACTACATTGTATGGTGGCACCGTCTTCAGTCAAATTTATAATAGTTCTATTCGATGGAGTACTGATAAATTCCTTGTTTTTATTCATATTCTTTATGTTGTGTTTATTTTCATAGTTGTGTGGGTTATTTGGAATACTGGGGCAGTCGTAGTCGGGTTCGATGTCTGACGGCGTGTCAAAGTTATGGATGTCGCCAGTTTTCCAATCAAAATCTAGGCTATCCCACGTCCTTCTTTTCAGCCTATTTATAGTAAGTCTGAAACAAAAATATTTTCGTAATTGCCTGTTTAACAGCCCCGGGAATAGGAATGCCTACATAAAAAAAGGAAAAAATATGCTTATAATACTTTCTCTTTATTTAACTAACCTATCTGCACGATCCGCAGCCTCTTCAGCAACACTTGCTAGTCGTCGACGTAAGGCGGCTGGAGGGGCCAATGGAGCCAGAGGTGCGGAAGGTGCGGGACTCCTCTCCCCTGCTGCCGACGATGCAGAACTGTTATACCCCGAACTTTCCGGGGATACCAACTCTAATCCTGCACCTTCTCGAATTATGAGCTCTAAACGACCGCTCACCTTCATTGCTGATATGGCCTGAAAATAATTACTCAAATGTATTTTAATTTAATTCACAGTGTTTAGACGATTTTAAAATATTTATATCTTAGATAATTTGATACATAGCAGGTCTAATATTTCTCATGGCACTTATTATGAAGGTAGTTGCGTAACATTCTCGTGAAGTGGTCACATTGTTTCTTTGCCGAGTAAATAGGTTATATTAGATGGTGCATTCCAAAATTACGTGTTTCACGGCACAGTAGTTACACGTTTTGTAATTTATTGCGATGCTCAGATAGATAATTATACCACATTAGATTGTTGGGTCACATCAAGCAAACAAAATTGATGAGTCGAGAGCGGAGTAAAACAATCACCTCGTTGAAAGACACATTGGCGAAGTCCTGACCGTTGCAGGACAGGATTTGGTCTCCAGGCCGCAAACCTGCCTCTCGAGCTATACCGCCTTCACGGACAAATTGAACAAAAATACCAGATTTCCATTCTGGACCTTTGCAAATTCTGAAAAAGAAAAGGCACAAGTTCTTAAAATACTCAAATAGTTTTAAATTATATGTCTCATAAATATGTAAGAAGAGAGAAAAACAACGACTTATTGGTACGACCCAAACTTGTACATTTTTAGTTTTAGAGTTAGTTACGACAAATTGTAGTGCATAATATGTATACGTACCCACATCCAAGTTTGGCTCTTGGTGGCACCAGAATCGAAAGTCGTAAATCAGTCAACCTCTCCGTGTCATGGCACAGGGTGGGTGATGATGACACATCCGAGCCAATGGAACCTCGCTCTGACACGAAGTGCCATGACAGCGACTCGTGCGTTTTGCTGAAACGACATTCAATTTTAAACTGCTACCCAATTATAATTGAATTGAAAATAAATAATAATTATTATACATAGGAAATGAAACTATTTTTCCGGATTTAAATCGCGTATATTTGTTTTTTCAAACAAACCGACTTTTCGGGCCCTTTACAGGTCCCATGGTCACGGTTGACTAAATCGGCGGAAATAATTATTATAATTTAGCTTAGCTTTAGTCTTGCTAATTTAAATGAACAATATTAAAAAGGAAAGGATATTTCATCAAGTAATACAGATTCTTCATCTAGAATACAGCAAACCTTTATAATAACTTCAGTATTATTATCTAACGATAGTACGTCAATATTGTAAAGATTGAACGATAAATAAAGATAAAATTTTATGATGAATATACGTCAAATGTGGACATAGTTTTATTCAATGTAGATTATACTATTTGTACACATTTAAATTATTTGTACACGTTTATTTCGTAACACATGGCAATTATTTGTCACTAAAAAAATAGAAACCAGTGTCCTAATTATTACCTGCTAGTGGCCTCATTATATATATCGAAGGGTCCAAATGCCAAAGCGCAAAATCACAATTTTACAGGAGAGGCTTCCAAACTTTCAATCTGGTATATTTTCAAGATTTCCTTGTATGTCGAGGTTTCCTTGAATATGTTCGATTTTGTTTTAACGCTACCTTATAGATTTTATAATCTAGAAATGAAGCATTTACCACAAAGTGAAAATGATAAAATTGTTAGTTTGGCCCTTATGCTTAGGACCCATCGATATATACTAGTAGCATAACACAGTCTTTCCGAATTGTCGTTTTTTAAAGTGCATATTATTATTTGAACGCTATGTCGTATGGTGTAAGTTATAACATTCCCAGAGGGATTATTATAAATATAAACACATTGGTTGGGTATAAACATCGAATCATTATTTGATATGTACTTACTCTTTCACTGGGAGCATCCCGACATCTGAAACGAAACAGAATTCATTTTAAAATATGTTACCGACTGACTTCAAATTTAATTTGTGTTATTTGGTACCATTTCCCATTTTGGTTCTCAATAACAAATTTTTTTTAGTTTGTACGGCCCAATTCAATAGTATTTCGCATATTAATGACATTTCGACTTATCGCTTTGTAAGATTCGCATCCCACGGTGGGGTAGAAACACTGTGTCTTAAACATCGTGATTTAAAAAACGAATTCACGGTATCAAATCCCACAAACTTTGCTAGTACCTGTGGCTGTATATATACAATGAAACAAAACATTCAATAATCGTTCACAAAAGGATAACAAATCAAATTAGCATTTATATCAGTGTAATTGCCGTATCAACTGACTATTTGCGCAACTCAGTGATACGAGCAAAATAGACAGTACAAGAATGCCCACGCGCTTTCACGATTATCTCACAAATGAAATCCGGTGCCACAATCACACCGTCTTCGTAGTGCCGTAACATTTGAAGTTTGATTAATTAGCATAATGGTATCTCATACCTACAACTTTGATGAGACGTTATAAAACGATGAAAGTTGGGCACTTATTACGCAACGGACCTGTTGAGATACCGGATATTTATTTTCTATTGATAATTTTTGAAAATTGATACTAACGCCTACGCAAAACAGTTACTCTACATCTATACACTATTTTATACAATGCCATACCACCGGAGCCTCTCTCTCTCTCTCTCTCTACTATGAATTTTTTTAACAAGTGATGTTCAATTAAATCTACTAACGTATACACATTCCAAGTAAACTTTACTAGCATGCCCTCAACGTATAACAATTTAAGTAATTTCGAAATAAGGCAAAAAGGTTAATTACCCCTATTTCCTTCATAGATGTGCCTGTGTGTTTGAATGCAATTTAACCGATGTTTGGTAATAATGTGCTATCTATGCTAAACAGCCATCTAGTGTAAATTACAGGTGCGGGCATTAGGTAACAGATGTTTAAAGTTACTCACGTCTAACTTTGATCTTGAGTCGAGACTGTGAACCGAGGTAGTGGACGAGTTCAGAGTGCACTGCGTCATCTACGCGGTATCCATTCACACTCACTAACTGGTCGCCAACCTGAAATTCGAAACTAAATCGTTAAAGTTTATTACAGAGTTTTCCTAGAACTTTATCTAAAGGATTACAAATTAATGTTATTATATGCAATATGAAATTGTAGATGTGGATTCTAAAACTATTATCAACGAACAAAAAAGTTACATCTATTTGAAACGAATTAAATTGGACAAAAGTGTTTTATTTAAACAGATACAATCTCAACTGCGCCTTAAATGCATCAGTTTAAATACCAACAGTTTCACTATAAACCATTTACGCAATTCTTAACAGTAAAAATCTATCTCGGTATATTATTTATTTCATCATTCATGTTTGTCTATAACATTTAAATGAAAAATTAGTCAGTCATAAATAACGAAATGCGGAAATGTGCGTTAATAGCAAACAGAGGGGGAAAAAGTAATATAAATATCTAAGTATTTCTCCGGTGTCGAAACGACAATGGACAACAGAGTTATGAGTTTGGTGGTTATCGCGCCATGCAACAAATATCGCACACAAATATCTCGAATTTTATAACGCAACGCAACGCTGTAATTTATTTGTATTTTACTATATTCTTAACTGCACAACAAACACATAAAAACACTTATCACAAACGACACACAAGGGTTATATTATATGTTACTTTCTTCTTAGTTTCATTGTTTACGCTGTCCTGTTTGTTATTACCTTTATGAATATTGGTTCTTACAAGCCGTATCCTACTTACCCTATTTACATAAAAATGGGTATATGTATTACCTATTTATAACCACGTAAGTGTACCTAAAATTGTTAATCAGTCTAGAACTGGCTCAAACTTTTACTATAACGCTGCCCCAAGGACCAATTTAAATTTTTGTAAACTAGTTATTAACAAAGCTTCCGCGGTTTACGACCACCATCGGTGAAACCCTGGCCTACTTTCTTTAACAACGATTACTAGTAAAGTTGAGGTTAGCTCCAAGGGATTGTAGGTAGTTTGGTGCCCAAGTCACTAATTTCACTCAATGAGCCGGTCTGTTTCACTTCAGTAAAACTGTTTGCGAAATATGAAATCACAGTTAGCGAGATGTCATGACTCCAAAATCGATACTCTTTTTGGTTCGTTTGTTTAACACGCATGTGTTGGAGTTATGAAGTTCTGAATGGTACGTGACATCACAGCGAAGTTCTTGTTAGGAGCGCGCGCGACACATACTTACGCGGACTCTGTTCAGTAATGCGACGAGAGACACGCTTTCCTCACGTTCATCTCGACTGCCGCAAAAGAAGCCGGACTGGTCGCCTTGCGCCCCACATATCCGCGGACAACTTTCGATCAGACTTTCGTTCCAACTTATTTTTTTTACTTGTGACGCAAAAGACCACCAGACACAACGATGCCTGACCTTGTCGAATTCACTTTCATTACAAAATTTTCGTATTATTACTGTCAAACAACATTCTTGCTCTTGAAATATGTGGAACGTCCAGAAAAAGATAATATACAAATAGGGTTATAGAGTGCTATTTTAATACAATTTATATCTATTCCATTTTTTATGCATTGAGGGATTTTTAAATTAACTTATACCTAAAGAAACGAATGAAAACATAATAAAATTCAAATTCGTTCAGAGACGGGGAACAGTACGTCATCATTTACAAAGCCAACGAACAGCTGAGTACATGCTTTCGCGTTTAATATTTGCAGTTTATCGGTGCGTCATTGCGATAACCATTTACTTATTTCACACTAGTGCGAGTTTTATTGCACCTGAAACCATTATTACAACTTTATTGTAAGTCATTCAAGGTCAATATATAATAACAAAACAATTACCTACGTATCTGCTAATTGAAATTAAACTACTCAAAAATGTCAGGAACATATCTTTAGTGTGTGCAAATTAATTTTATTGTCATATTAAAACTCTTAATTTATCGTTAAAATTTTATTTTGGATATTTTGAAATTACACATATATGTAATTTATAATAATAATAATAATAATAATAATGTGTATAATTAAAACTTGAAAATAATTTTATACATACTAATGATCACAAATATACGTTTACATAACGTTGTCGCTTAAGACTCGACCTGAAAGCAAACCGTACTGATGTAGATAATACATAAATGTGACCAGATAAAAGCTATGAAACTCTCTTGTCAGTTTGAAGGACCACATTAGCACTTTTCTATTTTAGCGAATGTTACACAAGAAGCATTAAGTCCAAGTGGCGAGGGTACATGCAAGCGGAGAGCGGTAGAAAGTCGACGTACCGCCTCTGATCGACTGCAACCGTTCTGCCGCGCCGCGCCGCGCCGCGCCGCCTGCCGAGCGCTGGTTACTGAGTGACTCACACGCGCCCGACAGATACACTCCTCATGGGAATACTATTTCTAAATAGGAATGAAACTATTTTTCCGGATTTAAATCGCGTATATTTGTTTTTTCAAACAAACCGACGTTTCGGGCCCTTTACAGGTCCCATGGTCACGGTTGACTGACAACGGAAAAAACAAATATACGCGATTTAAATCCGGAAAAATAGTTTCATTCCTATGTATAACAATCGCGAAAACCTAAGAACTCGCTATTTCTAAATTTTCATAATAATTGCATCAATTTGCACCTTCCTGCAATCAGCATACCGCACTCCAGAACATAAGTTGTTCAGGCTGTTTTCTCAAAAGATAAGTATAATCAGAAAGCTTCACATCCCGTCAAAGTTCTCTCTTTAGTATTTATGCCGAGCGAACAACTAATGACTTACTTTCGTTTACAAATGTAGTGATTTACAGTAAAATTAAAGTTGATCCTACATTTACAGTAAACATGTAGACTAAACTCTCTACATAATAACACTACAATTTTAAACTATGTTTTGGTAGTAGTACGCAACCTTTCTCTATCCACTTTTTATTACAAACAAAGCAATTTATCTCTACACCTTTCTTGCCTCATCATCATCAAAATAGTTCGTATGTAAACGGTTACGTATTGAGTATGATCATAACACCTGCGTCAGTACAACAAGTACTTGTAAACTCCATTTGAGCACGGCGTTTGGTTCTTGCCAACAACACCTGTCGAAACCACGGCCGAACAATGAAGCACGATCTCCACAAATGACACACTTTGATAAGCATAACGCTGACTCGGTCCAGTACGTCTAACTTTTCAATATTTATAAAGCATTACTCGTACAAATCGTTGACATACGATGCCGTTTTTCTAGTAACAAAAAAGTAGTAATGTAGGTACTCGTACACAACGTGCCCAATTCTCAGGATTCTCGGTGAATATCTCAAAACTCCCCATTGTGCATTCTGTATAACAACGGATGTACTCGTGAATTTTTCGTAACTTCTTTGTTTAGGAAGTAATTGTGTGAAAAGTTCCAAAATGTTTGCAGAATGGATAATATATGTATAAGTTCCCGCGCCTTAGCTACATATAGTTATGACAATTCACAATTAAAATATGCTTTGAGACTATGATTAAATTACTCAAACCTTCCACAAATGAAGTTTCTAGTGAGGAAAGTTATATTTTACATTCATTTAGAATAAAATCTTCAAAGTCAAAGAATCATTCACATTTTAGGTAAAATTTTTACACTTGAAAACGTCATTTTCTAGCACTAGGCATTGCTCTTTTCAAACAAACGTTAAATGCTGTGGAATACACTTTGAATCACATTTGTGAGGTATCTAGACTCTTGTTGCCTTGCCATACATCTTTATCTAACACAGTCTTCAATTTTGTAATATAACTTTTCAATTAAAATACTTTTAATGTAGGTTTTAAAATCCGGAAATAATAATCTTAATATGTATTAAAAATGCTCCGGAAAGTTATTGTAAAAACGTATACAGTTCCTCATAAAAAATGTTTACCTTAGTTAAACGACATCGTGGTACAGGGTCAAGAGCACGTCAAGCTTGACACTTAAGACTTAAATCCAACTCTATGCCGCTTACGATAAGAATGGTCCAAAGTACAAAGTGTCAAGCTTGACGTGCTCTTGATTGTACCACGAGTTTGGACTTAGTTCTAATATATTAATGGATATCTTCTTTCTTAATGAAATTAAGTATATTTTTACGGGCATACAAAATATTTGAGTAAATGTAGTGTGATGCCACAGTCATGATACCAGGTCTCCTTAAACTTTTCTCTGAGAAAAACCCGAGAATCTAAACGGTACACATAACGAATAGCTCGTTTTTGTAACACAATATGGTTTGTATATCTGCCGCTTTACCCCACATCGGAATCTCGTAGGACATTATACTATGAAAGTAACTAAAATAAACTAGTCTAGCAGTAGCAACACCGGTAAGCTCACGTATTCTATGGACTGCGTATGCAGCAGAGCTCAAGCTGGCCAAGGAAGAGATTTGTGAAAACCATTGAAGTTTAGTATATAAGGTCGCTCCAAAAAAAATGCTTTTGTTAATAAAGCTGTTTTTATGTGGTCTAACTTTTTTCTATTTACTTCTCTGAGTGGACTAGTCGATTTTACATTAGGTAATTCAAATTTAATACACTTTGTCTTCTTGGCATTGAACAATTAATTGTCAACATTCAAGCAATAAACTTTTGAGAGGGTATAATTAATATTGTCATTGTTAACGTCTTGTTTTAAAAATCAAGGATGTGTCGTTGGCTAACAATAACATTTCGCAAAGGTCCTTAAGAAAGAATGACAGATCATTAATATAAATGAGAAATAAGGAAGGTCCAAGTATTGAGCCCTGCGGAACACCAATTTTTGCCGGAGAACCCAAAGAAGTCACTACATTTATGTCTACTTTCTGAATTCTACAGTTACGATATGCCGAGACAATAAGTCCCAACTCCTTCTCATTTACTCCGTAATATTTTAGCATCCTAACAAGAGTAATATGGCCACACAATCAAATGAGATTTTGAGAGGTCACAGAAAACCCCAAGACCATTCTGGGAAACATCAAAGATTTGTTTTGATAGCGCTACCCCCGCATCGCTAGTCGATGTACCACTAATAAACCCATATTGTTCACTATAAAAATAATGAAATAGGACAGTAGTTGAGTCAACAAAATCTTTTCGAATATTTTACTTAAAGCTGATATATGATAGCTGATAGAATTGAAATGGGCTTATAGTTGTTAGGATCAACTTTCCTATCACTTTTGAACAATGGAATAACTTTGCTGTCTTCATAAAATCGGGAAAAAATACCTTCGTCAACGCGCCTACTGAATGCATCAGCTAAATGTGGGGAAATCAGATAAATTACTGCGTCATAGACATATGTCTAAATAGACCCCGCAAGTACCGCGATCTGTATGAAAACCAAGCGTGGCACATTTTTTGTACCTCCGATGAAGTCACAAGCAATATTCAGCGATGGGAAACTTCCTTCGGCATTAAAGTAGCTGATTAAATCGAAGACGCGGACGCAGCACGTACTTAGAATAATAATTTTTCGACTATTAGTTGACAAGAAGCCGAGGAATATTAATATGGTAAAATAATACCAGAATAAGGTAATTAAATCCTATATTAATACGTGTCTTGAAAAAAATTATTGCTCCGGAAAACTAAAAAAACAACAATAAACTTTACAGATTATTTTTATAACATTTTCTAAGGTCTTAAAAATTATAAATCGATCAGAAACGGAACTGCGTTGCATCAAGTGAACATCACTAATCGTAAAATTTGGCCAGAAACATAACGGCGCGGCCGTACTACGAAATGAATGCATTATACGAAAGCATCCTTCGTTTGATATTGATGACCTACTAAAGAAAGACCACAAGTGTACAAGCCAAGTAAAAGCCACAATGTATTACGAATCATGCGGCATATACTCGTTTGCATATTTGTTTCCTCGAAATTCATTCGAAATGAAAATAATAGATTTTAAAATAAATTATACATATTCTGATTACAAAATTCCTTAAATCTTTTTGGAAGGAAACGTCCCTGTTTATTCATCTATTCAAAGCTGTGGCCTTTTTGCTATTTCTAATGGCACAATTAGGCATTTTTCGCATTTTCTACTGATGTTTAACTACGATAACGGCCGGGCGCGTTCTGAAGCGTAGCAGCGGCAAGTAAGCGTTTGTAGATTACATTGGGCACGCGAAGTAGGTACACTTGCGGCTTCTATTTAAATATATATCTGTGTACTGAGTCTATAACCTTAGCCGATATGTCCCAGAGACCTTCAGTTTTTTTTAAATGTATAGCTTTAAAAAGCTTTGATGACGTCTTGTTGATTAACATGATGAAAATTAAATACACTCTCATAAACAGTTTAATGATTCTGTAGTGTTCATGGCGATTTCCGAACGATTCAAAAGCTAGCGCTAACTCATCTTTAGATTTTATAAGTTTGCCGTCTAATTCTAGAACTGTTGTTTAACCCTGCCTGACTCTATTTGTTATACTCCAAGTAGTTTTAGATTTATTTTTCTATTGTCTAATTTTATCGCTGTGAAACTTGACCTTAGCAGCTACACATACTTTTTTCAAATATTTTTGAATAATTTTTAACATATTCTATAAAACTGGTATTATGTTTTTATAACGAATAGCTCATATGAGACCTTATCTTACGAATGCCTTCTGTTGCCCAGTCATTGAATTTAGTCTCCGTATAGAAAGTTAGTGTTTTCTATTTAAATACGTTCTCAAATTCATTTTTAATGCAACTAAATATCATGCTATATAAAATCTAAGCGATAGCTCTAATTGCTCGTACCCCAAGACCATATTACGTTCCGCACTAAAGTATTCAATTACGAGCACGAATTCTACATGTAAATAATTAGACTTAATAAATCGTATCGGTGCATCAAGTAGATGCTCTATTACCTGCCATTATCCAATAACTAGCGTTGAATCGCGATTGGCAACATTGTAATCGGTAGGTAATGAAGTATTTGACCCACTTGTTGTGACAACATTGCGATATCGTCAAATCGAGTTCGAAACTCGAAATTGGGTGCTGATGGAAACAAACTAGGTACCTTGGTTACGTGAATATTCTAAAAGAATGGAATGTGTATTGCGACAATTTAGCCTCGGATGTAGGTAATTGCAGAAGTCAGCCAATGAGCTAATTGTAAGCTTGTAACTAAAAGTGTTCGCACGAACCCACTGTATATCCCACAGTAAATCTTTGTGGGAAACTACGCAATAAGTTTCATGGTAAAAAGTGTCAACAACGACTCCAATCTTCTTTTTATGGTCGTACAATACCTCTAATGGTCATACAATATTTGTACGACACAAAGACAGAAATTAAACAATGAGATACCCACTCAAAGAGCGTGCAAAAAGTAACTGTGCCGTAAGAGCTCGCGAACACAATAGAACAGTAGAATCTCTTAACGATTTCTTGCAATAAACGGAAACTAAGAAACTAAACGGAAACGGTAGATTAACAGGCAAATACAAATTTAAGTATTAACCTTACCTCCTTCGCTACCGCTTTTTTTTTGTAAACGTTCGTGTTTTTTATATTTTACAGCGTATATAGAAATTACATCAATCGAAATGTAAACACGGTCAGCTGTCCAATATGAGTATTTGATATCTAATACATTTTCTTCTTTTTACTATATAAATCGATCAGCAAATAATATAAAAATCAAAACTAATCAGTCGCCTGTCAAATATATATTTTTTATACATACTTAAATAAATATTATACTAATGAAATTCTATGCCACCTAATTTATTTAATTTCTACAAAAAAATAAATGCCACCTAAGAAACCTGGCATGCCACTATCTTCCGGATAAACTGCGTAAGTTACATTCATATTTGATTACATAAAGGAACTGACCTTCAATCCCTGAAGATGTGCCTCTGAGTTGAAGTCGACCTTCGAGATAAAGAATCCTGTGGCGTATTCTCTGCCTCCCCGTAAGGAGAAACCGAAGGCTGGCGCTGAACGGCGTGGGCGCAGCAACCGCACCACGCGGATTCGACGTTCTACTGCCCCCGCCGCCCCTGCTACACCCGAACCCGACGTCGTAGACGCAGTTGACGTTGCATACATCGCCGTTACTGAAATTGAGAAAAAAAATTGTATCATACTATAATGTTCACTTAATATTATCTTTTGATTAAAACATAGAAAAGACCAGTACTAATAATCCGTATTGTAATTTATTATTATTTCCATAAATAATTATTAACTGAAAAGTAGGTTTTGACGTTAAACATATTTTTTTTCTTGGCTTTTCAATTAGAGAATGGAAAAGAAATCTTTTCTCGGTTTCAGCCACAGAAAAGGTTATGTGGTTGATAAACACAAGAAGATTGTATCTGATAATTTATTGATGTTATTTTTTTGAACACTGGATTGTAAGGCTTTTAGCACGAAATTAGCAGCGAAAAAGCCCTGGTAACAATGATATGTACCTATTACCTATTCTATATTGAAAAAACCATTGCGTGTCTATGAAAAGATATAATTTGATTGTGGAAACGACATCTTTGATCAAATCCCTAAAGTAGGAACAGTGTGAATTACACCTTAAGCTGTTTACCTAGATTCAAACAATACTGCCCTGGGATAATCGGTTCCAATATCCGGAATTAACCTATTATAAGAAGCCCTGAAAATTCTGCTAACTTGGTAGGTACTAGTACACTCATGTGGTATTAGGTCGTTGTGATACCCGTTTTCTTCACAAATGATTTCGTCCGTTCAAGTATCATGTGTTTGGCTTAAAGAAGTTCGTACTCCATTAATGGACATCCTCAGTAGATTAACGTGGATTTAATAAGTTAACTACTCCTACGAATAAGCCTAAAATTATTTTTCTTTTCAATACACACGCAATTAACATAAAAAATGGCTTACATTTTTGTTATTATTTTATTACTTTTACAAACTCATTACAAATTATGATGTCTAGAAAAAACAAATTAATTTCGTATTGACAAATTAAATTATTCATTTTTAAATCGTGTAGGACTTTGTATGCTTATGTTTAGAGAATACGGCAAACCTTAATCTATTATCGTTCATCATTTATTTCGGTAAGAAGGTGTCACAGCCTATTTTAACTTATGCAACACAAAATGTAGGCTGATATTTCACCATTCCTCTTTAATGCTATTAATTTGAATAATATCATCTAAAGCATAATAACCTGTTGGCGAAGGGTGTTCCGTAAAGAAGCGAACTCAGCTATTTCCCTTGACATTAACAGAATAATACGTTCTGATACCTAAGCAAAGGTCAAATCAAATATTACTTTGTATTACAGGCGATCATTATAGTACCTCAAAAAAAAGATTTGATGCAAACTATCAGCAGAATGCCATTAAATCCCTTTTTTAGCTGTAAAGAATGGAATCGAGACACGTGTAAGTACATAATGCAGGCTAATGCTTTCTACCTATAATACTTATTACAACATGCGGATACCAGTCGTCACACCATACCATACCAGCGTATAGTGTGGTGAATGATGTAAGAAAATATATACGGATGTTTGGGTATTAAAGGTCAGGAAATTAAACGTTAAGTTTTAACCTAACATTAATTTAACTAGCATTTATATCAAAAAAAGTTTGCGATCACTTCGAAAAACTGAAATCTTTTTTGTTACTGCAGATTATATTATGATTTTTTCTTCTTTTTAGATTCTTTATTTAAAAATAAATTAGAACATAAAACAATGACAATCAATTGTTTTTTCATATAAAAAGGCTTTCAGTCCTAGCTTACGCTCATTCAGAAATCTGATTTAGTCAATTATAAGCGATTCAAGATATTTTTCGCTGAAAGTTGTGATTGAAAAAATGCCAAGAGGATTATCAGAGGTTTTACGAGCTAGAATAGTAACTTTGAGGGAAGAAGGATACACCACGAGAGTAATAGCACGCAGACTTGCTATATCCCAATCCTGTGTCGTGGCTACGTTGCAGAGGTATCACGGAATGGGGAATTTAGCTGACCGACCCCGCAGCGGTCGCCCAACTGTTTTGACAGCTGCCCAAAAGCGCTATATTAGATTGCTGGCAGCCCGTGATCCAACAATCAACGCCACTAAAATAAAAGCAGAAGTCAGGGCCGCCTCTGGGCTTGAAGTTAGCACGCAGACCGTTCGCAATTGCTTGCACCAGACTGGATTACGAGCACGGAGGTCTTGGCGAGCTCCGCTCAATTCCCGACAACGTCAACAACGAAGATTGCAGTGGGCTAGACTTCGGCAAAATGAAGGTGAGGACGAAAACATTTGGCAAAACTGTCTCTTCGTTGACGAATCCCGAATCAGCACTCATCCAGATAACCGACGTGTCCGTGTCTGGAGAAGACCAGGCGACCGTGAAAGACAAAGAACTGCCACTGGAACAGTTCAGCAAGGCGGAAAATCGGTGTCCTTTTGGGGTGGCATTATGATTGGAGCTAGAACGCCTTTGATCCCGTATCGGGGCTTCATGACAGCAGACATGTACAAAGCAGTTGTTATTGATGATATCGTCAGACCATTCCGAGTAAACCATGGGCACCAATTTGTACTGGTCGATGATAATGCGCCCGCACATCGAGCTCAACGAGTCAATGCTGCTCTTCAAGAATACGATATCACACGATTAGACTGGCCTGCCGGCTCGCCCGACTTAAACCCAATAGAGCATGCGTGGGATGCTCTTAAACGAGCAGTATGGAACCGTGAGACACGTCCCCAGACAGTTCCAGAGCTCAGGGAAGCCGCTATTGAAGAATGGGATAGGTTACCCCAGGAAATGCTGGATAACTTGATCCTCAGCATGCCCAGGAGGATCTTCGCATATATTCGAGCCAGGGGAGGAGTTATTTTATATTGAATTCACACCTTTTAATAATAAATTGTTGTTTAAGTTTAATTAAACAGTCTTTTTCTTTCTATGAAATTTCTATCACTATTACATTATGATTAATGGCTCAATTTTTTAAAATAAATAATAAAAAATAGTTTTATATTTTAATTTCAAACAGGGTATTCCTATTTAAAGAAAGCATACAACATAGATTTTTTCTTGATAAAGTTAAATTTAAAGAATTATAGAAGCTTATGCTATTGATCGCAAACTTTTTTTGATGTGTGTAGATAGATACATAGACAAAACGTTTATTAAGATCTACAGACACACATACATAACATAAAAATACGCAATACAATTTATTTGTAAGTCAATGAATACAATAAAAAAAAGAGAGTCGCAGCACTGCCTGAAATCCAGTTATACGTGAGGCGCACTATAAGTTTTCGGAATGAATAAGAAAAAAATACTATAAATGGTCAGAAATGAATTTATTGCTTCTCAAAATATTCTCCGTTAGCGTTAATGCACTTTTTCATACGATTGAACCAATTTTGAAAACATTTATGCCACTCCTCTGTGACAACCTCTGAAACATATTTTTCACTCTTCGATAGCTCAACGTTGTTCACCTTCAAAAATTCATTTGTCTGTCTGGCCGTGTGAGAACAGGCATTACCGTGGTGCAAGATGATACGGCGTTTAGGGTTATTTTTACGGAGTTTGTCAATAACTTCCAGCAAACAAATGGTTGTGTACCAATCACGATTCACGGTACAACGATTCTCCAAAGCAACAGTAGCCACGTATCCAGTTTTATTAAAAAAAGAAACAATCATCCGCTTAGAGGCAATTTGCACGCGCGCCACGGATCGTAACTATAAATCCATGTTTCGTCACCTATTGCTGTGTCCCACACCAAATTTGACGACCCTTCGTTGAATCTGCTAAGCATGGCATTGCACCAAGCGACGCGATCCGTTTTTTGAGCCTCAGTCAAATTGTGTGGGATCCACCGAGATCACAGCTTTTTCACAACCCAAATGTTTGTGTAGTATTTGATTGTATTTGACTCATGCCTATGCCTAAAGATACACGAATCTCATGGTATGTCACATGCCTGTCTGTTTTGATTATACGGCGCATAGCATCGATGGTTTTGTTGTTCATAGCAGTAGACGGGCGACCATCACTAAATTCGTCACTGAGATTCACACGACCGCGTTTGAATTCTGCAAATCAGCTATAAATAGTCGTCTTGCATGGTGCTTCATCGCCAAAAGCAGTTTGAAGCCGAGCAAAGCTTCGCTGAGCTGTTAAATTACACTTAAAATCGTAGAAATTCATACTACGAAAATTTTCACGAGTTAAATCCATGGTGATGTAGACAACCAATTTCTAAAATGATGCCACAATGTAAAAACAAATGATAGTCAGATGAAACGAACTGTACTCTATAGCTAAAGAGTTCCATTTTCAAATGTTGTAATTACTTTTTAAATATTGTTTATGTAAGTGGCCAGTTCCGGAAACTTATAGTGCGCCCTATGTATATATGTGTACTGCAGTGCAAAAAGGCCATAGCTAAGCATCGGTGTTTACTCAAGAACAAACCAGTGATTTTCAGCTACAACCCAGAGGGTGCCGCGGATACGATAACTAGCTAGCTGACGCCATTTCCATGCCGTATTAAATGAAACAAATAATAATTTCGGAACTAAATAAATACGAAAGACAATGTAAATATAATAAAATATACTATGTTTTAGATTAGATTTAACTAAATTGATATTATAATTAAAATAATAAATTGAAATTGGATGTGAATATTATATAAAAGTCTATTTCATTATACTTAAATAGGTAAATCCTGTTGTTATTGCACAATGTTATGTAGCCAATTTTCACCACCTAAGCAAAGCGCTGTGAAATACCCTTTTTTGAGTGTTTAGAAGAATCTTTAGAAGAATCTTTTCCGTGAAAGTGTATTTAGATTTAGATTACATAGTTACGTAATCGAGAGGCAAAAAACTGTAATAAAATAAATGTGTTTTGGGGTGGAACAAACACGTTGCCGCAGCACATAAGCGAGCTCAATTGGATTTTCAAGTGTATGTCCTCTATGGGAAGCCTGATGGTGGACGCATATTTAAAAAAAATAATTTAAGTCGTAAATTATTTAAGTTAAAGCTTAGGTACTGTCAGCAAAAACAAGATCAAATCAAAATGGATTTACTTGCATCGCA